GACGCTTGTGAAATATAATATTTCATAGGAATTATTTCAAATTTGTTAAAAAAATGATTCTGACCGAGATTTTGACACTTAAACAAACATATCTCATGCCTACTCGAACGACCGCATTGTGCGAGATGCGAAGTACGAAAACTAATCCCATTAGAGAGGGCGCACTGTATTGACTGTATAAAGTATACATAAAAGCGAGAGTATTCCAGCGGATGCGATCTACAACCTCCGATTTTGCCTAGTAACGAATAATTCGTCGAGAAAATGGTAATATTCTATGAGAAATAGTCTGTATTTCTCTTCTTTTTTTTTTTTTTATTCTTTTGCGTAAAACTAAAAATTATGCCAATATTTTTCCATGATTTATAATAATTGGAGTAATGCATATGCATCTTTTCTATAAAAAAATCTGTTTTTAGTGAGATTTTGCCGGGAATGGGGCTTTGAAATACGTCGGGTCTTCAGTCTTCGTTAATTGAAATGTAACGAATTAACAATAAATGAAAAAAATTCCAATTTATTCCAATACTTTACGCGAGCACGGAATTTACCCGAGCACGCACGCGCGCAAATATTCGATTATATATGAATTCTAATACGCTGTCCATACTATGCGATGTTAATTATAAAATAATATAATTGTAAACCCAATTAAGTATGTGAAATTAATATGCAGTGTACGTAACTCATATACTTTGCATGTGTTCATCGGGAAGATCATAACACAAAATGGACGGTGTGTACCACGTGACTTTCGCAAACCAAGGAGCGGAATGTCGCAACTCTTCATATATATGGCTCTGCATTTTTCATAGCCATAGTATGGCTTGCTCCATCTGTCCGTGCGTGATCGTGTGGATCGGATGCACACATTATCTTTTTTATATAAATATTTCTTTAAACAGATTTATTTTTGTTAAATTTATTTTAATATACTGGTTAGTATAATTTTATTCCGTAATTAAGTTTAATATATTTTGTTTGGCATCGTTCTATTGTGGTGCCTACGAGGCCTTAGGCATAGGATCTCCATAATAGGGACTGCAGTTTGAGGCCTATCCTATTTCAGGTACGGTACTGTATTACTAAAAAAAATATAAAAAAATCCGACCGACCGACACACGATCTCGAGGTTCCCCCTTTAAGGGCAACACAACAATTTTTTTTTAATTTTTTTTTTTTTTTGGCCTAATGCTAACTATTCTAGAGAAGGCCACGTTTAATTAGTATCATTTAAAGATACCTTATGTAGTTTTATCATTCTTTTTTTATCGCAAAGGACCTTATGAGCCTACAACCCTAAAGTGAAATAGGTGAGTACTTAGAAAACCCGAATTCATTCTAAATAAATTTAGGGCTGCGATAGATAGGCCCTAAGCGATATATTGAGTGTGTGCACTCTATCAAGTCCTCTTATTCATCAACCAGATCGCGTACTTTTTTACGTTTATTATTATTATTATTATTATTATTATTATTATTATTATTATTATTATTATTATTATTATTATTATTATTATTATTATTATTGTTATTATTATTGTTATTGTTGTTGTTGTTGTTGCTTTTGCTGTTTCTGTTGCTGCTGCTGCTACTGCTGCTGTTGTTGTTGTTGTATCCATTAATCTAGGCTACTGAAGTTGCTGTTGAGTTTCATGTTAGGCCCTACGATTGACTTCAATGTGCGAAGACATTATATCAAAATTCAATGAATTGAACAGCATTGTGGTATAGTTTTTGCTTTCAAATTATATTTTAGGTGTATGTTCACGCAAGAAGATGAGACCAGCCGTCACGTTTCTGACAGTGCTTCTCATTTCGTGTCTCTTTATGTTCTCTAACGGTACTCCTCTTCCTGGAGGGTATGTAGCACGTAAACCTATAGCCTAATCAGTATGTATGTATGCCTACAATGTGTCAAGATAGGACAAGATAAGATATATATACTGTAGTGTATTGTTATTGAACACAACCAGTGGTGTACAAACTTCAGTTGCCTTGATTGTACATGCAATCCAATCCAATCATTTATAAAGTGCCTTACTTTACAGATACAAAGCGCTGCACCCCACATACTTAAGCACCCCAACCCACAGGCTATCATGATCAATGCCCAACACAAACACAGAACACATAAACAAATCAAAACTAATCAATCAATCGTTCCATGTGTATGGCGCCATTCCTCCAAAAAAGAGATTATTAAAAAAGGTGGTAGTGACTTAGAACTGTCAAGAGAAGGTGATTGTTAAATGTTCGGAGGAAGGTTATTCCAGGGCCTTGGTCTAGCAGTGATGGAACATAAAAATAAACATATTATCACTTAACAAATACAAATTCAAATGTATTTTTATTGCAATAAATTAAAACAGGATCGGATAAAACAAGTAAACAGTACTGAACAATTATTTAACAACACATTGAAAAGACGTCAATTAGATTTTAAAAAAAATACCAAAAAAGAAACAACAAAAACTGTTGTTATTGTTACAAAAATTTCAATTTTATAAATCAATTATTGAAAATAGAATTAAAAAGTCAATAATAAAATAAGTGTAAGCAAAGGGGCATATGAAAAAAAATATATATTACAGTCCGGGAAAGAATTAAATTGAAGTAGCCATTTAGAAAATATAACAAGGTCAATATTCCATCAAAAGATAAAAAAATTTTATTGCAATTATTTAATATTTTTTAAAAATAAGTGTATACAAAGGGGCACAAAAAATAATTTTAAAAAAAGGAAAATGAAAAGGACAAGGGCTAAATCTCAATAACACAATCAAATAACTTAGCATATAACCTATAACTTAAAATTATTTATCAAAAGTTGAGTCAATTACATAAACTGAGCTGTGGACAAAAGATTTCCTGCATTTGCTTGTATTGCATTTTAGTGGACGAAGTCAACCAGATTTGTTTAAAATATATTGCTTTAAGTGGATGCGAGGGATCATTTAATCTTTTTAACAGCCTTAGCTTATGTAACTCACCTAAATATAAACACCTCCACTCAGTGGCATAACAGGCGGGGGCAGACCTACCCCCCCACCCCCGACGGTTTTTACCGGGCTGACCAAGCCGTCGTATCGGGCTGGGTAATAAGAGAAAAAAAGAGGGGAGAGGGAGGGAAAGAAAAAGAAGAGGAAAAGGAAAGGAAAAGGAAAAGAGAAGAGAAAAATAAAGACAAGAATAAAAAGGAAGATATCATAATGACCAGACTCAACACCCAGCAACCCCTTTTCCACTTCAAAGAGGTGTCCATAGCTCCTTTGATCTAAGCCGCTAGATATTCTCCGCAGTGGCATAACCACCGGGGGACAAGGGGAAAATATCCATCTGTGGAAAATCTTTCCCCACCCCTTGAAGATTCCCTTTTCACCCCCTGAAAGTGCCTAAACATTTTAAATTTCGGGCGCTTCGCGCGCATTTACTGTTTAATTAGGCCAAATTCCTCTAAAAATTGCACATTTTAGGGAGTTTTGATCAATTCCGACGAAATTAGAATT